TTTCCAGAAATTTTATAATATAAGATTTTGGGCCAAATTGTAAATGTGCATGCGTGCGCTTTTACGCGTGTAGGCTATAAACACGTAAATCATATTATGTGTGTTTGTGTGTGTGTGTTAAACAGCAATGTGATTCAAATGAAAAAAACCCAACACATTCTAATCGTAAAATAATAAGAAATATAAAAACACTCACTCGCTGCAGAGACGGTGCGTCCTCTGCAGGTATGTAATGTTATGCCCCCCTGTGCTGCTGTTGTATCCCACGCAGGGCATGGCGGTGTGAACCAGCTCGGCGGGGTGTTCGTGAATGGCAGACCCCTCCCGGACGTGGTGCGGCAGCGGATCGTGGAGCTGGCCCACCAGGGCGTCCGGCCCTGCGACATCTCCAGACAGCTACGGGTCAGTCACGGCTGTGTCAGCAAAATCCTCGGCAGGTAAAAGGGGGGATCCAGCGCCACTGCAACAGAGCTCAATGTGTGTCAAACATCAATCTTCTATAGCTCGTATATATGCGCACCCAGCTCTATTTCAGCCTCAGTCATCGGTTATGTAGGCAGGTCATTTTTTTCTACTTTCTTTCTCTATTTCTTTTTGCTTGAACACAGCAGTTCTGCGTCCGAGATTTTCTTTCCATCACTCTCAGCCTCACAAAAAATAAAATCACCATAATCCAAAAATACATTTGAGGAGGGAAGAGTAAAGTTAAACAAAAAGAGCAAAATATCCCATAAGAATTGGAGGCTGTGTTAAAATTATAGGTCATAAAGAAAATATTGTATTTCAAATAAAGGCCTGAGTTTAATATTACTAAGAGACACGTTAAACTCACATCTGAGCATCATATTCCATTGGCTAAAAAAAAATACCATAAACACAGACTTTAAGTTGAAATATATTTTTTTCCATGAGTGTAAAATGATAAATTAGATTTACATCATTTTACTTCAGAGCACAAATGCTGTGAGATAATATTTTGAAATATATTTTTTTCAGCTATCAGAAGGCATTTCAGAGGTATTTTCATTTCACACACACTGAATGTTTTGTCACCAACATTTACCAATAGGTCATGGTGGCATGTATATATACGTGCATGCTACTGTATAAACTCATGGAGACTGGAAACCTATAAAACTGTCCTTTGGTCCTGTCCGTGCCACTGCTTATATTGTGTGTTTGGTTTTTTTTTTAATTACACTGCTTTTTCGTTGGAAATCCGCTCTGTTCACCTTCCAGCTGACACACAAATTGGCCCATACAACAGCACACTTTCACAGCAAATGTAGATTACGCTCAGACATATTTGTTGTAGGTAATTATTATTTTTTGACCTACATAAGTGCAGAAGGTCGGCCTCTCTCATCATCCAGACAGCTGACTGACTGATTGTTGGATCTAGGATGGATCCATTCAGGAACACTCACTCTGCCCCCCCCATGCAGGTACTATGAAACCGGCAGTATTAAACCCGGAGTCATCGGTGGCTCCAAACCAAAGGTCGCAACTCCGAAGGTGGTGGATAAAATAGCAGATTACAAGCGCCAGAACCCGACCATGTTCGCCTGGGAGATCAGGGACCGACTACTGGCTGAGGGCGTCTGCGACAACGACACGGTCCCCAGCGTCTCCTCCATCAACAGGTAGGTGGAAATAGATGATTTCGTTTGGTTTTATTATATTTAAAGAGCGTGCCAAATTGTGCCAAAATGTCTAAAATGTCCCTGAAACACACTTTCCTTATTTTATTGTATTTGCTAAATGTGGAACAGACAATGTTTGAGTGAGAAAAAATGTCAAAAGGGACATACGAGTGGGGGGGGGTCTTGTCAGGCGCCACGCCTAAATGGGATAAATCAGTTTTGAAATAAGCAGATAGCCGTTTTATCTCCACAGACGAGGTCTGAACTATAGTCATTTCCAGCCGAGCCCCACAGCCTATATAACCGGGGTGGTCTCACAAGTGCAATTCAATCCCCTGTGCGGCCCTCCACGACAGTGCCTGCACATTGAGGAGGTGGGGGAGCCGAGGCTGAGGCTGCATGGGGCCATGGAGAATCACATCTGTCTCGATAAAAACCGATCAATACCGCGTAACCAGATCCAGAGGCGCAGGGAAATACCCAACAAAGTCGTTCAATAGACGCGGACCACACTGCGACAGAGGCGGCAGCAGGCAGCCTCTTTATTGCTCTGTTTCCCCAACACTGAGGAAATGTGGAGCCACAACACAATCTCACTCTTAATTATCAATAGCATACACAGTTATTATTATTATTC